CATTACCGAAAAATAAATATTACCATTTCCGTTAGAAGATGTGCAGATCGGCATAATCGACGAGGCACAAAAACTTCAACTGTTTAACCTTTTAAATAATTTCAAGATTGTTTTGCTCTGTATACAAGTGAACTGGGTTGTTCAAGATCAGCAACCATGAAAATTACATTAAACGACGACAAACCCTTTACATACAGACCATACAGAATGTCAAAATCGGAACAGAACGTAGTCAAAGAAATTGTAGATGACCTGCTTCTAAACAAAATAGTACAAGAATCAGACTCACAATATGCTTCCCCAGTTTTACTGGTCAAGAAGAAAAATGGAGAACAAAGGCTTTGTGTTGACTACCGAAAATTAAACTCTTTAACTGTAAAAGATAATCATCCTTTGCCTAGGATAGATGATCAAATAGACAAATTACAAAATGGAAATTATTTTATAAGTCTAGACCTTAGATCAGGATATCACCAAGTGCCAATTGAAGAGTTATCAAAACAATATACTGCTTTCGTAACTGCTGAAGGTCAGTACGAATATACCAAAGTTCCGTTTGGCCTATCGAATGCTTCAAGAGTATTCCAAAGACTAATGACCAAAATAATAAAACCTATCAGAGAAAAATCTGCATTATACTTAGATGATGTTCTTTTGTTTGGTAAAACAATAGACGAAACCTTGAATGTTTTTAGAGAAGCGTTAGAAATTTTTAGAAAAGAGGGTCTGACACTAAATATAAAAAAGTGTAGTTTCCTCAAAACATCTGTAACAGTTAAACCTGGTAGCGATAAAATTAAAGCTGTTGAAAACTTTCCAACTCCAAAATCGATTCACAACATTCGCCAATTTATGGGGCTAACAGGTTATTTCCGGCATTTTGTTAAAGACTATGCCATTTTAACAAGACCTTTAACAAATCTAACCAAAAAGTCAGTAAGTTAGAAATAGGGTGATAAAGAAGAGAATGCATTTACAAAACTCAAAGAAATCTTAGTTAGTCAACCTGTCTTAAACTTATTTGATCCGGATGCAAAAACCGAAGTCCACACAGATGCTAGTCAGTTAGGTTTAGCAGGTATTTTATTACAACGAAGTAATCGAGACGATAGACTGCACCCAGTCGCTTACTACAGCAGACAAACTTCCGAAGCGGAACAAAGGTACCATTCGTATGAGCTCGAAACTTTGGCTGTACTGGAAAGCTTACGAAAATTTAGAAGCTATATTTTAGGTATTTCGTTTACTGTGATAACCGACTGTAATTCATTGAAGGCTACTATACTCTGTTTTTAAACTAAGAGGAGCGAATTGAAAAGTCCTATTTACACAGGGAAAAATAACTAAAAAAGTAACTAGATATAATTTTAGCGATAAATTAGAATTTGTCTCAAGAAAAACATTTCAAAACTTTGTTATGAATTCATTGAAGTCAAAGTTTTAGATAACCAATTTAATAATAAATGTCAAGAAAACTTAATTCGTCGTTCAGATGTCAAAATATTGCATTTTAAAATTGGCATATTTTAGGAAATCACTTAAAAGTTCCCATAGTAGAAAATACAACTTTTAGTTTTTTTACCAAAATGTAGTCTCCTCCTCCTCCTCCTCCTGCCCTGCTTCAGCAGGATAGAAGAAATTACTACCACACATAATCTGGCTATCTCGGAGCAGTCTGGAGCTAAGATATATACTAGAAGCATGGAAAAGGGACAGAATCACCTTTATTCCAAAGGTACGGAAAAAGGATACCACACATCCTAAATCCTTCCGACCAGTCAGCCTCACATCCATTGTATTAAAAACAATGAAGAAGGCCTTTGATAATTATATCGAGAACGGAAGTTCTGGAGAGGGTGCCACTCTACCACAGCCAACACGCATACCGAGCAGGAAAATCTACAGAAACTGCCCTGGTAATGTTGACGGACGTAATTTAGGATGCACTGACAAACAAAGGAACGGTCGTGTGTGCCTTCCTAGACATAGAAAGAGCTTTTGACAACAAGCCACACGAATCTCTATAAAGAGCACTTGCATACAGAGGAGTAGATAACATTACATCCCTATGGATGGCTCAGCTGTTATTTACGAGAACTGAAGAGACACAGATAGGGCAGGACACCATCCATCTGCACAACCAGAGGATGTCCACAAGGAGGAATTCTATCCCCACTAATGTGAAGCCTAATCATAGATGAACTTCTATGCAGATTTATTGACCTCGGCATACCCTGTCAAGGTTTTGCCGAAGACATAGTCATATAGTTTAGAAATATCCTGTGTAATATAGTCCAACAAGGACTAGAACATACCAAAAGATGCTGCCGTGAGGTGGGACTTAGTATAAACCCTACAAAAACAACACTAGTAGCCTTTTCAAGGAAAAGAAAACTTAATCTCAAAACCGTTAAATTAGACGGGATAGATATAGAATGGAAAAATCAAGTCAAATATCTAGGCCTAAGCCTGGGCAACAAACTTCTCTGGAACACACATGAGAAGGAATTAGTAAATAAGGCCACCAAGCCCCAATAGTATGAAGAAACATTGCAGGTAAACGATGGGGATGTAACCCAAATATACTGCGATAGATGTATACTGCAATAGTAAGACCAATCATCACTTACGGGGCTATAGCCTGGAGTAACAGACCTAGTTTAGCTAGCCTGTGTTTACATTACTGGTGCAATGAAAACCTTGCCTACGGCCGCAATAAAGGTGATCTTAAACCTCGCCCCTCTACATTTGATGATAGAGACTGTGGCAAAAAGGACACGATATAGAATGATCAGAAACGGAGTAATTAGACGAAAGTCTACTTGCTTCAGGACTAAAGATACCTGGGACATGTCCCAGGATGAAATGCTAAAGAAGTACAGTTTTGTGAGAAACTTCAAAACCACAGAGCTGGGCTGCAAGAAAGAATGGAGTCAAGAATCCATCGCGCTTGCAACCAAAAGATGTGTCATTCAGTGGTATATGTACGGTTCCAAAACCATAGAAGGAACTGAAATAGGAGTGTATAGTCCGAAAATCAAGCACTTCGAAAGCTTGGGAAAATACCCAAGCATCTACCAGGCGGAAATTCACGCCATCGAGAAGTGAATCCAGTTTGACATCGAGAAGAACTATCATAGACAAGATATTATCATCACATCCGATAGTCAAGCAGCTATCAAAGCGCTGAACTCTTACGTAATCAGCTCAAAAATGGTCTGGAGGTGCCTAGACCAATTGAATGAGCTAGGCGAGCAAAATAGAGTTACTCTCACTTGGGTCCCGGAACATAACGGAGTACAGGATAACAAGATTGCAGATAGTCTTGCAAGGAAAGGGGCTCAAACACCCTATGTAGGACCTGGGCCGTTCTGCGATATCAGCAGTAACATAATATTAGGAGAGATTAAAAAAGAATTGGGCAGTAGAAGAACCGATAATTGGAATAATATCTTAGGGCTGAGACAGGCCAAGATACTGCTGGGTAAATATAACCAGAAAATATCGGAAGCCTGCATCTGCCTGAGTAAGAGCAGGCTACGTATTGTAACGGAGATCCTTACCGGGCATTACCCACTAAAGGGACACCTAAGTAAACTGAGAGTAATCGAGGATAGTGAGTACTGATTCTGTGAGGAGGAAAACAAAACCTCCATTCACATCCTTACTGAATGTGTAGCACTGCAGAATCCAAGGGCACAATATCTAGGAGGATATCAGATAGAAAAGGGAGATTTACATAACTTGAAGCCACTTCAAATCCTACACTTCCTTGAGAAAATGGGATTAAAAGGGTCGTTATAGGCATTGGGACATTTCCTTGGTGCATTGGATGTTTTAATTCGCAGTGTATTAACACTTCATTCCCAACATGTGTTTCATTTCTGGTTTTAATTGCTCTTCTCTCGTCCTCCGAGGTGTGACTCTCATAAAACTGACTCTTTTACGTCAGGATCATCAACTTTTTAAATCGGAATGACATTTATGGACATTTCTAGACTTTTCTGTCTTCTTCTTTCGTCGAACTTTCACTTATGATTACCGCAGCACACCGTAAGGTGACGGGTGATATTTTACTTCTTTTTTATTTATACGTTTCCTATAACATCCGCAGGCCATTGCAGGGTACAGTGTAACAATATGTTTGCAGAAAATTATTAGATCTGGCCCAAAGCCTACAAAATGCTTCCCTCAAAGAATAATGTCTAGGTAAAAGTTCTTGTACTTTGCGGTAGTGATAGGGATGTAATTTTTGTTATCTCAAAACTAGTTTTTCTTGGAAAAACCATACCGGTTTCCCTATTTTTTCATTCAATAGCACTAAATTTGTTAATAGATGGTATATTTCTGTAAGGTAATTGTTTACTATATCTAGTAACTGCCGTAGTGGAATTTCCTAAAAATTCTGTTAATATCATCAATATTATCTGTTTATTCGTCAAATGTTTCCATATTATTTATACGTTTTTAACATCAAAATCAAGCGATAATTAGTAACTATCAAACAATAAATAACCAACGTTACTGCGAAATGTTTTTACTGCCTACTAAAAATGTGATTTTCTTAAAAAGAACATTCTGACTAAACGGTTTGTTTTTCCGACATTCGCTAAAAGTGCATTTTTAATGTAAATTTATAAAATAAAAGGGGAGCAAACAATTAACTCTTTAACATTTATTTAGCCATTCGCAAATAGAATTTTTAAAAAGCCAACCCAAATAATGTAATTTAATACCCTAAATAACCTTACAAAATTTGTTTTAAATTGATTAGAGGGTTTTTGAGATATCGTTGAAAAAGTGCTAACTTTCAACTCCCTGCAAATGGATGTATCTAGCACTGTTATTATGCATTATCGTACCTATATATCTATTAATTAAACTGAAATTAATATTAGACGTACAGTTCGACCTAGAGAGTTTTCCAGGTCTTTGTATATTTAAAATAACTATTTTAGGTCACAATTTATTAAAATTATTAATTTTCCTTTTTATTTCAGTCCATTTGTATTAGGTATTCGATGAGAGACATCAATAACTAATTTTGTTTATTAAGAGATATTATATATGCTAATAAAAAGTTGTAAAAACAAAGATGACGTGGATTTGTGACGAAGTAAAACAACTGGATTTATTATTAAATGAATATTTAGGAACAACAAAACTAATCAAAGATGTTAAGACGAAAAAGATATCTCAACCAGGCGAGAATTATGGTAGTATAATGTACAGTTTAGATGTTACTGTAGAAGACAAACAAAATAAACATGAAGAAACCATTCACACTGTAGCTAAAGTCCTACCACAAGGTGAATTGATTAGACAAATATTTAATATACAAACTACTTATAAGAATGAGATGGCATTCTATAAAGTAATAGTGCCTACAATGTTATATTTTCAAAAGGAACTAGATATTCAGAAACCTATAGACTGTTTTGCAAAATGTTATGCTGTAAGAAAGAATTTATTGGAAAATAGCGACGTTATCGATGATGATGCAGTGTTGCTGCTAGAAAATTTAAAAACGGCAGGTAAGAAATATCTAGAATTCTATTTTGGAATTAATTTTTTCATAATAGATTAAATGCTTTATTTTTCATATACCGGGTGTTCAAATTAAAGAGTTACAGGTAAATACCACATTTTATAAAAAAAACGTTTTAGACGAAAGTTTTATAGTTTTGTGGGGAAAAAGTTTTGGCTAAAATCTTTTTTTATAGCTAACCATAATATGGCCAACTTTTTTTTCGCCCAGAAAAATTTTCAAGTAGCTGTTACTCAAAAAGTAAAAGTCCAATAAAAATACTTGTGGCACTCGGGGACTGCTGCGGTAAAGCTATTGCATAGCATTTTTTATCAACTCATGCAATTATAATTATTTATTTATTTTATTTATGCAGTATTTTATTTCTTTGATATTAATCAAAGTTTTTTCTTTGACATTAATTCAAGTTACACTTTTTGAGCTTGGTGACCGATAAGAAAACAATTTTTTTTTCTTTTATTGAATAAATATTGTTTAAAATATTTTTATTATCTTTAAATACATGTAGGTTATTCAGGAATTTTTATCATTGAAACTATAGGTTTATAGTAACTGAAATAAGAAACATAAGTTTAAAAAAATTTGATTTGAAAATTGAAAAAATCGAAAAATCGAAAAATCAAAAAATCAAAAAATCAAAAAATCAAAAAATCAAAAAATCAAAAAATCGAAAAATAAAAAAATAGAAAAATCGAAAAATCGAAAAATCGAAAAATCGAAAAATCGAAAAATCGAAAAATCGAAAAATCGAAAAATCGAAAAATCGAAAAATCGAAAAATCGAAAAATCGAAAAATCGAAAAATCGAAAAATCGAAAAATCGAAAAATCGAAAAATCGAAAAATCGAAAAATCGAAAAATCGAAAAATCGAAAAATCGAAAAATCGAAAAATCGAAAAATCGAAAAATCGAAAAATCGAAAAATCGAAAAATCGAAAAATCGAAAAATCGAAAAATCGAAAAATCGAAAAATCGAAAAATCGAAAAATCGAAAAATCGAAAAATCGAAAAATCGAAAAATCGAAAAATCGAAAAATCGAAAAATCGAAAAATCGAAAAATCGAAAAATCAAAAAATCGAAAAATCGAAAAATCGAAAAATCGAAAAATCAAAAAATCGAAAAATCGAAAAATCGCAAAATCGAAAAATCCAAAAATAAATTCCGTAACGAAAATAAACCTAACACCCTACTCTGACCGGCACAGCGGTGTGGCGTTGAAAGCCGTGCATCGTCTAACATCGTTTCAGTTCAGCAGACTTCGGCACGGTGTTTGTGTGCGTGCGACTAGACGTGTGCGTGTAGACTAGCTGCTAACTGCTCATAACTGATTCTATCTCTTTTAGACACAATGTCGGAAAAATTGAATTTGAAAATAAATAATGATCCACAAGAATCCACAACAAAATATAGGACCACCATTGATGCGATATTTTCCAGATATTTAGTCTCAAACTTATGTTTCTTATTTTAGTTACCATAAACCTATAGTTTCAATGATAAAAATTCCTGAATAATCTACATCTATTGTAAGATAACAAACATATTTTAAACAATATTAACTTCTCATTTATTCAATAAAAGAAAAAAAAAATGTTTTCTTATCGCTTACCACGCTCAAAAAGTGTGTGTAAAATAAATAAAGAATTATAATTGCATAAGTTGATAAAAAATGCTATGCAATAGCTTTACCGCGGCAGTCCCCGAGTGCCACCCGTATTTTTCTATAATTAAATCTAGTAATGGCCTAACTTTTGCTTCTAATTCCTTCTTTTCTTCGTATGTATATTTAAAAAATTTATTTGCGTTAATTAAATTGAAGTCTACTTCCATAGTACACAGATAATAGTCAGCAATACACAAAAGTACAATACACGCACCCTTAAAATTATTGTTTTTAACTTTAACTCGCCGTAAACTCAAAAGTCGCGAGAAAATTAAAAAAAATACACCGTACGTATTATGCACATTTCTGGACTAATAGCAGCAAACTTTGCACTTAAATCACTACATTACTGTTTGTTTTAACCGTGGGCTAGGGGGAAGCGGAGTGCCACGCGGTTGTTTGAAAGAGCGCACAGAGCTTCATCATGTGCCCCAGATAAATAATAGTTCAACGATAGCCTGTGCAAGCGTGTGTGTCGGTAGGTAGGTTATTCCACTGGTCGACTTTACGTACACGGCTGCCAGCGATGCCGGCGCTTCGCCAGCAGTTATTTTTAAACATTATTGCAATGCGAATATAATATTATACATTTTATTTTTGGTACCTAATAGCAAATATTTGAGTTGGATTATGTATTTAGACTGTCTTAAGTACTAAGAGATATTCTGTTATGACATTTTTTGCAACTGGAATTCTTCCATGTTGAAGGCAAGGGAAGTAAGATGGATAAATATTGTAAAGATATGCCCCACTTTTATCATCATGCATTCTTTTGGTAAATGCTAATTTATATATTATTGTGGAATAAACTCTCCTCAGTACATTTATTATCCTAAATACAATATTTTCTGAAATTATATTCTACTCTCTATTCATGAAATGAAGCCATTGTAGATTTTTTAATTGTCACTAGGTATGATGCTTTTCCTTTAACACAACCATAAATTTTTGTATATCTTGTAGGTTTCATAAACATAGACAAAGTCAAAGGATTTGATTTGGAAACAGCTGAAATGGTCCTAAGAAGCTTAGCACAATTCCATGGTATCTCGTTAGCACTCAAAATAAAAAAACCTGAAGTATTCGAAAAAAAAATTAAGATGCATTGCGATGACTACTACATTGCCGTAGGTGAAATGCCTCTAATGGTCCCCACAATACAACTGCTCCTTAATGAAAACGAAGAAATCAAAGAACAAATATTGCCGAAGGTTGTGGGTTGGGAAGGTGCTAAGCGTATTCCAAAAGAAAGTATTTTTAACACTCTAGTCCACGATGATTTGTGGACTAATAATACAATGCAAAAATTTAAAAATGGAAAACCAGTGGAAAATAAATTGGTAGATTTTCAGATTATAGCTTACGGATCTCCAGCCAGAGATCTTTTCTTTTTTTATGGTCTAGCCTTCCTTTGGCTCTCATAAAAACCCATTTAGATTACCTTATAAAATACTATTACGATAATCTCATTACAGTATTAGGGAATCATAAAATAGACATTACTCCATTTACTTTTGAATATTTTTTAAAAGAAATTCACGATATATCTCCTTTCGAGTTTAAGCATGCCTTCTATTTCCATTTGGTCGCTGTTCATGCTAAAAAAGGTGGATTTGAAATGACTAAGTTACCTACTGTAGAAGATATATACAACGGTATTACTGATGTTGCCAAAGAAAAAGCATTTTATATGACCAAGGAGTGTTATAAAAGGGGATGGTTTAGATCAATATAAATATATTAACAGTTATTGTTTTATTATTTCTTCTTTTCCAATACTATGCAGACTAGAGAGTAGGATACAAATTCAAATAATTTTATTTACATAAAACAGAACATTAGCAATACGTAAGCTTTCAAAAACAAAATAAAGACATTATAATAAATAATAATAATAATAAAAGAATTTATTGCCCAACAGTTTCCCATTTACAAGGCAAAGGAGGGTATGCTTTTGATAGGTAAAGGACTCCGCACACAGCTTATGAAAAAGTGGCGACCTGTTAAATGTCATAAATTTTTAATATGTTGCAGTTCTCGACCTCCTAAGCAATAGTGTCTATGGAACCATTTAAATCCTATGACTGGTTTTTAAGATACAAGGTGTTAAACTTGAGAAATACCACTTATTTGATAATGGTTAGTTCAGGAGAAAGCTAATCGATTAAATTTTTTTGTGCCAAATCTTATTGTACCATCTTTTGGCATTCTACTAATATAAAAAGGGGTTAGAAATTATTTAATTTTACAAGGTGGGCCAGAAATAAGTAAGGGCATATTTTTGATAAATACTTTTATTGTTCTAGAACAGTGGTCGCCAACCTCTCAATGTGTTGAGCTACTTTATTAATTTTGGAATAAACAGCGAGCTACCCACACGAAAGCCACGTAACGCAACGTAAATAAAATAATCCACAGTTAATTTATCATTAAATGTATTTATTTTACTATTTAACTGGTAGTACATAATACATAGGTACTAATAATAAACTAATACCAAAATACCTAATATTACTAGTACGTACTTGTTCATAGCTACATTCCTACCTACCAAAGGAAGTTGTTTGAAAAATAAACACAAACTTTTACCCAGCCACAACGGCATGTCACGTAAGATTTAAAAATAGTCAATAATAACAACAAAAAAGTAACGCACTATCATGAACATAAACATTGAAAAATAAAAAATCACGTTCAATGAGAAGGCTGACACTCAGATTCATCCATAATTTTTTTAATGTTTGCAGTATAATTTGATACAGCCATTCGAATATAATTATTCAAATGTTCATCTGTAAGTAGATTGCGATATTTGTTCTTAATAAACTTCATATTTGAAAAAGAAGATTTACACAAATAGGTTGAACTGAATAATGCTTTTACTTTTAAGGCAACATGGCATAGAACTGAATATTTGTCTTTACTTACAATAGGCCAGATACATTTGGTACTTGAGACTAACGATTTTAAGGCTAAATCATTTTGAAACTCAATTACTTCCATTTCTGTTGCAGCGATGTCTTCGCCAAAGTTCTGCATAACACAAGTTGCAAACTGTTGGATATCAATTTCCATAAAGGATGAAACAACAAACTGCGCTACTAAAGCCATTTCGTTGAAATCCTTGAAACGATTTTTGAAGTTATTCTTCAGGGTAGAAACTATTTCTACATGATGTTTGCTGTCAGGGTTCTAATGGATTTTGAGATATTTTTTTTGAAATAATAGGAAAATGCTTGGCATCGCTGTTTATTAGGTTTTGTTCCCAAAACTCCAGCTTTTTGATAGATGCTTTTATATCAGAAATCATTTCCGCTTGTTCTTTGTCTCTTCCCTGAAGCTGCAAATTAAGTTCGTTTAATTTCTCTGTAATGTCCACGAGAAAACCAAAATCTCTAAGCCAGATTGAATTTTCTAGTTCCAGAGTCGTTTCATCGCGTTGTTTGAAAAATTGAACTATGCCAGATACATCATTAAAACGTTTCAGCACCCGTCCTCTACTTAACCATCGGACTTCAGAGTGAAGAAGTAGGTTCCCGTATTGACAGTCAACTTCATCGGCCAAGGTTTTGAATAATCTTCTTTGTAACGCTTGAGCTCTAATCTTCTTGACAATTTTTACCACCAGTTTCATAACGATGTTTAGTTTCAGGAAATTTCCACATCATGCTTGCTGATGGATAATGCAGTGGTAGCAGATAAATTGCGGAAAAGTTTTATCTTTACGACATAACGCCACCAGACTCTTATCACAACCCACCATGGCTGGAGCGCCATCGGTTGTCAAGCCTACCATTTTCGATATTGGAATTTTCTTGGAAGAAATAATATTTTTTAAATGAGAAAACAACTCCTGTCCAGTAGTGTGTCTTGTCAGTAGAATAAACTTCAATAGATCTTCTTTAATCGTAAAATCACTAAAAACCATCCTGACGAACACGGCCATCTGGGCAGTGTCAACGACATCTCTTGATTCATCCAGTTGAAGTGAAAAATAGACACAGTTATCAAAGTTAGTTCTTAACTGTAAAAAAATATCATTGCTCATTACTTCTACACGTCTCATCACTGTATTAGCAGAAAGTTGCATAGATTTTATAGCTGAAACTATCTCGTCTTTATTTCTAAAGTTGGCAAATAACGAATCAGCAGCTTCTAAAAACGCCTGTTTTGTCATTTCCCCGTCTTCATAAGGTTTCTTTTTTTGTGCAATTATCTGGGACACACGCTACGATGCTTCAGTTGCAGCCTTATTTTTGTCAACTGTTCTTAAAAATATTGATTTTTGTCCAATGAACTGCTTTTTTAACTGTTTTAGTTTCTCCTTTCTGGCGGCAGAATGTAGTGGGAATAATTTTTCAAAATTAAAATGTAGTTTTATGATGTCTCTCAATATTTCCTTTTTTAGCAACGGAGACCGAAGTATTACATAACAAACACACATTTTTGCTTGCCATAATATTATTTTTTGTTGTTCTCTACTAACCCAACCGCTGGACGTTTGTTACCCTTTCAGTTTTAAACTAAGCGCAATGTCGCCACGCCGTGCGTATTTATCCCGTTCAAAGTAATCCTGATCGTTCCCGAACACTAACGCGCTGGTCCGGCTGGTCGGTTCTAGCCGATTCTAGCTTGATGGCGTCAGCGGCAGATCATTCACCGCAACGTTGCCGCTGTTTATGTTTAATATTATGACAATTAGATTTTTTGTGGAATTTTCGGAAGCTTCTCTGATTTTTGCAGTTTGTATTTTTTAAATTAAAATCGTTGTGAGAGCTACCAGAATTGCCTTCGCGAGCTACCGGTAGCTCGCGATCGACAGGTTGGCGACCACTGTTCTAGAAGGTAAAAATATATACTAAAAAATAAATTATTGCTATATTTATTATATTTGATAATAATACAAAAGATATTAGGTGCCATTTATACAGAGTGATTCGTAAATATCGACATAGGCCAATTTTTAATTTTTTAAGTATTAATGTGAAACGCAGTATTTTTACGGGACTTTTGTTTATTTACCATATGTAAAATTATTTTTTTTATTGACTACAGGGTGATTTAATATATATATATAGTGAATGTTAATTTATCGAATGTGTCCAAAAACAATTTTTTTAAGCACCCTATACTTTTTGATTAGTCCTGCAAAAGAATAGATATTTTTTTAGTGGAGTATCATACGTCCTATAGCAGATATTTTAAAAAATTACAGCTTTTTCTATGATTGGTTTTTGAGATACAGGGTATTAAACTTAAGAAATACCAATTATTTGATAACGGTTATTTCAGGAGAAAGCTAATCGATTATAATTTTTTGTGCCAAATCTTATTGTAACATCTTTTTGTATTCTACGAATATAAAAAGAGGTAAAAAATTATTTTTCTTTACAGGGTGAGCTACAAATAAGTAAGGACGTGTTTTTGATAATTGCTTTTATTGTTCTAAATCTAAAAGATAAAAATATTTTCTAAAAGGGTACATTATTGCTTTATTTATTATGCCTGATGATAATACAAAAGACATTAAGTGCCATTTATACAGGGTGATTCGTAAATATCGACATGGGCCAATATATTTTTTTATAAGTATTAATATAAAATACAGTATGTTTACGAGACTTTTGTGTATTTACCATGTGTATAATTATCCAATTCATTGACTATAGGGTAATTTAATATTTTGTTGTTGGTGCGCCATTGTTATTATTTTTTTTATAGTTATATTTTTGTAATCTATTTTATCAAATATTTATTTTTCAAAATTACTTACCTGTGAAATATTACATAAAACACTCACTTAACTATGCCCCGCTCAATTATAAAAATTTTTTTTTTAGAACACTAGATTCAATCATCAGGAGTGGATTCAGTTTGACTCACCCTGTATAACTTTTTTTAAACTCATGTTAAATGAACATCCATCTCGCAAATTATAACTTTTTTTATTAATACAATTATTAATGTCGTTTTGACATACAGATTTCTTCACAACAAAGAAACAAACTTACCTAAACTAAAAAAAATCAGATTGCAACTTTTAACTTTGTCACACTTTCAATACTTTAATAGTCTTTACCAAAACTTATTTTATTTTTAATTTGTTTTACCCTTTTCAGGCAGTTTAATTGCTAGAATTAAGTAAATTTATTATTTTATATGGTAACCAAACGCAATTTGATTTTATTAAAATCTGCAGATTTCTTTATTATATTGAAAACAGTGAAATTCCCTTTAAATCTAAGTTAACTTAATATATAGAAAAGAATGTAATTTCTTTTAGGAAACCAATATCAACAGTAGAATTAACAAATTGTTATTAATGTTTATCGAACTTCCTAACTGTGATATCAATAAATCTGTCATAAATCAAACAGCACTTACGCCTTTGTAAAAGATCTCTTCCAATGGATCCCTTTGTAACCAGAATAGCTATTCAATGAATGTCCTGTGCATGTCCCTGGATGGCGAATACCATACCATCCAAAAGTGTATTTCGCTGAAGTTCAGTAATAAAAAAAAAAAAAATACCACCTATGATCTATTTACAACCATCCAACTAATTTTGGATCATTTATGAGATTGAAGTTCATTTGTAGTTTACTAGTTCAAAACTCTTGTATTTTCTTATTTCTTAATTTTTCAACCTTTCAAAATTTTCTTTGACAAGACTTTTCTTCTTTTTAAAATATCTGTCTCCCCATGACAACCCTAAGCTGGGTCTTTTATACTTTTATTGTGCCAAATCACAATTGATAAATGAAATGACAATACACAGGTTAGTACTTACAATAATTAATTGATTTAATTTAACTTTTTT